AAATATTTTACAAAATTTATAAATTATTTTTAAAACCTTTTAGATTAAAAAAATTTTAAATGATAACTATTAGATTAATTATTGAATTAAGCCAGAAGGTAAATTGCTTATTATATTCAATTAAAGAAAAAGGATTAGCTTCACATTGTCAAGGAATTTTTTTTAAATGAAAACATAAACGCGTTATCAATTCCCTGTCCTGGAAATGCTACTTTCAAAAAAAGAAAAATTCCTGGAAATGCTTGAATCCAGCAAATTCTTAGCTTAAGAACAACGCAACCAGCACCGTGTGAGGTAAAAGCTTGCAGCTTTTTTCACCGGGAAAGTCCAAGTCCGGTAATGGCTCACAACAAACGTAACTTATCTGGTAGCTTCAATCCCATTGCCGTCGTGGGTCCCGTCGCCCGCTGTCTCTTCCAACTTGTTTTAACCTACAAACACCCTCCTCCTCCTCCTCCTCCTCCTCCTCCTCCTCCTGTACGTTCATTTAACTCGTTTAAATAAATTAACTTTGTTTTTGCTTTTTTGTATTTTAATGCGTAGCATAGTTTTTTAGTTTCCTGGAAGCTGTGATTTGTTGAGGGTTCTGCTGCCTGTATGGCAACCGTTATGCCCGAGAGGGACCCCATGTTAATTGTCCGTCTAGAAGGTCCCCCATCAGGTGGTTTTGTCTCCTTTTCGCAGTGATCAATGCGTGGGGGAGATGTCAGAGGTGTATTAATTGAGATCTGCTTTCTGGGTAGTTCTTATTTGGTTGAGAGTCTTTCATGTGACTCTAAAGTTCTTGACTTTTTTGGTTTAGGAATCTGCTTCTCTGACCCATGTACGCTTCAGCTCTGAATGAGAATTTGAGGAATTGGTTCTTCTGATTTCATTTTTCTGATTCTCGGGTTCCTGGTGTTTGTTCGGAGCTTCTCATAATCTCATGTGAGCTGAAAGTTTGTGAATTTCCTGGCTTTGGGTTATTTTTCCATATGTGTTGGATGGTTAATCTTCCTTTCAACAGTATGCTTATGATTTGAATGAGAATATGGTGAATTCAATAATTCTTGCAACATTTTGCTGCTCTTGCTAAGTTTGGTTACGGTTTCCCTTTTATTATTTATATGGCTGGATGGTTTTGCTTCCTTTAATTTTTGCTCTTATGTGCTTAAGATGTGTTGTTTTCACTGCTTTGTTCTGATTCTGCTGTTTGCTGTTGTCTGGAATCTCACTGATTTGTTCTAATCAATGAAAATTATCTGCTGCTTTGTTTTCTGGTATGTGCTGTTGTTTTCGCTGCTTTGTTCTGATTCTGTTTTTTGCTTTTATTTCTGTTGTTAATCCTACTTTCTTCTGTTGATTACTTCTCGAGATGGTCCAGTGTATTGTCTAATTGTTTACGGTTAATAGCTTTTGAGGACTATGTTTTGGCTGCTGATTTAAATAAAATTCTTTAACCATCTTGTGCAACCATACAGGTTGATTGCTCATTTGAGCATTATAGACAAGGCAACCTGCGGTTTGCTCGAAGATAACTATGGAAAAACAGAAGATCTCTATATACAGAGAGAGGTTGGACAAAGCTTTGGCATCTGCTGAACTAACAAATGAGGAGACCCTCAAAACCCTGATCAAAGGCAAAAGTGTTTGAGGAGTGGAGTCTGGAGGCTTATATCGTAGGGCCTCATTAAGGCCCTCAACGACCAGGATCTTTCCAATCTAACAGCCACCAATGCACGGTCACTTAGAGTGTGACACATGTTTCCCTCAGCCAAAAGAGCTACGACCTTGCACCTTCAGCTCGTCAGAGCTGACTCGTGTTTGAGTCGTCAGCTTGGAAGGGGGGAAAGATGACTTAACTAAGCAAACCGTTAGGACTCATTAATTACATGTCTTGTCAAAGTAGTGTAAATTGTAACACTCTCAAGGCACATTTTTCAAAATTGCTTGTTAAAAGAATAAGACGAACAATAATAACAATTTTTTTTACAACTAAACGACCAAATGTTAAAGGCTATTCTGTTGGGCCTAGGGTGGTAATTTGACTTGATTTTCGTGAGTATCGTAGGGATCTTTATTATGGAAATGGGACGGGAAAAAATAATTTTTTTTGTGAGGTAGGGATGAGAAGTATTTTCTCTTTGTGAAAATTTGTGAGAATTTTTTTTCGTTTTGCAGGATTCCGTAGGGATCCCCATCCCTGCGAAAAATTAAAAAAAATATGTAAATTAATTTTATTTTAAACTTAACTCAATCTTTAAACTTAAATCCAATTCAATAAAATTTAAATTTAATCCAATTTTATCCAACCTATTATTAACTTTTTAGTTATTTATGTTAGATTGATTTTTATTTATGTTAGATTGATC